TATATATATATATATATATATATATATATATATATATAGAGAGAGAGAGAGAGAGAGAGAGATATTATATAATAATCATTATTTCACTATAAATGAGCATGTAGAGGTCATATGAAGACCTTCACTTTTTTTTTTAATAAAATAATTTTTTGATATAGCCAATTGATATAACTCATTCTTACAAAAACGTACTAAGTTATTTATGTTGAAAAATTATCAATTTAAAAGATATTATAATTTGAAGTTCATAAAATTTATCATATGAAAGACAAAGAACATACAAAATAATATTCTATTACTATTTTTATTATCTGGAAGTTTTTCTATTATATGGAAGTTTTATAAACTTTATATTTATATCTTCCAAATTAACGATTTCTCAATATAAATAGTTTTTTGTAAGCAAATACATGATTAATGTGATAAAAATTATAAATTATACATACAATTATATTTCATTTAAAAAATTAAAATTGATTTTAATTTTTTATCTTTATATTTCATTTGTCAATTTAGAAAAACTATTAATATTATATATTTTTTTATTCACTAGTATTTAGATAAAATAAATGTCCCATAAATGTATATTAATAATAATATATATTATATACATATAACATATACATATAATATTATATATAATAATAATATATATTATACACACATACTAAGAGGACTTTTTTTTTTATAAAATTTTAATAACATATTATTGACAACATATTCTTCTGAAAATATGATTAAATCATATATTTAGAATATAGAATAATAAGAATTTAGAATAATAAGAATAAAAAATCTTTTTGAACATATATATCCCAAAAATGATAAAGATAATGATTTTACGATTAAGAATAAATTGAAATATAATAGTTTGAAATCTTTATCATAATAATTAATTCAATAATAAAAGATATAAAGATTATGATAAAACATTATGGAAAAAATTTAACGACCATAAAATAAAATTAAAAACAAGATTTTTATTGTAATACTTGAAATAAAGATTATTTATCTCATGACTATATTGCTAATTGTTGCAGTTACCAACATATATACATATATATGTATTACTAACATATATATATATATATACACACATATATATTATATATATAGGCAAAATAATAAATGCAAAATAAAAAGAAAATAAATACAAAATATTTATCGACATATGATTGAAAGAATCAAATATGAATTTTTTACATTTTACTTTATTAATTTTTCATAATCATTATTTTTTATAATAATACTATTTAATATAATACATAATAGTATAATATATAGTATTTTATATTTTGCAAATTTAATATTTTCTATATTTTTGTTTTTGTTTTCTTATCTATTATTAAATTAAATTGTTTATGTCTAAAATAAAATTTTATATATAATTTTATATAAATTTTATACAATTGTATACTAAAATATTATTTTAGATTTTAGATTTTTTTGATGATCTGAAACTATAAACAAAATAGTTATGATCATAAATGACTCAAGTTGTTCACAAAAACAGTGAAAAATATACCTATCCAGAAATAGTTAATATTAAGATTCGTTAATTAAAAAGCATTCATAATCTAATGACAATAATAAATCAAAAATAATAATAAATGACAAAAATAATATGAAAAGTTAAATCAAAAAAAACAATCAAAAATTCTTAAAAAGTAACTGTAGAAATCTTACTATCTTGCACACACTGATACACATTAAGTTCACATTGTGTTTTTTCTAATTGTTCTCTTTTTTCTTTTAAGAAAAGTTTATCAAGCCAAGTACGAGATCGTATTCCTTCCTTCCTGGATAAAGATCAGAATATTCAGCTTCAATATTATTACTTTTTTCAGATATTGATTTTTCTTTATTTTCTGTACTTTCAACAGTCATTATTTTTTTGATATATTATTTAAATTACTATTTTTAAGAAATAATTATACGAAAAATAAACAAAGTATAGGTTACGTGCAATCTTACGTCATGCAATCCCGGGTAACACGTGTACTTACATCATATACTAATATTTAGTGCTATTAAGATGACTTACTGTTTCAAAATAATTACTTGAATATAACCTGCATAAAAATATTTTATAATATATTTATAAAATATTAAAAAGACACACACACACACACACACACACACACACATATTTATATATTTAATTGATTTTATTACTATAAATCAAAAATTAAAATCTTTTAATTTTCATAAAAATATACATATACATTAATTAAATAATTAGAAATATCATAAAAATGTTATAAAAATATTATGAAAATACAATGAAAGTTTTGTAATTAAAAACTATTGTATATAACTTTTGAGGTTTTAAAATGAATGTAATAATTTTTTTTATTTAATTCTTTTATTTAATATTCTTAAGCATATACTATGTCCATTCATATATCAATGCTATATTGCATATTATGAATATAATATACATTCATGAATTAACTTTACTTTAACATTATTTTTCAATTTTAAGTTTCTTTGGCAAACTAAAAAATCATTATTATTATAATACAAAGAAAAATAAATACTTTATAAAAAATTTTTTTAACATTAATCAATCTTTATCACTTTTATATTTTTATACTGCTCATTATTTATGATTTTAATAAGTATATCTGCTAGATTATTTCTAGGATCTATATTTTATATTAATTCTTATTATTTTTAATAATAATGATATCTAAAATATATATTAATATTCATTATTCATATATAATTGAATCATTTCAATTTTTTTTATTATTTATATATAAAATACATTCTATTTTTTTGTTCAGCTTTTATAAATTTTTTAAATCACACATATTACAGTTATAATATACTTAATTTTTGTAGTAAAAAAAGCTATATATAAGAATTTATATAAGAATCAAAATACAAAGTTATAGCATACAATAGCATAGGATTTATTGATCCAGCTTTTTCTATTTTATTAACATTTTCCTAGTCAAAATTTCTATGAATATTTCTTCTGAATATTTCTAATTTCTGTATTTCATTTTTTCTTATCTATATTATCTCTTATTTTAAATATTTCAAAAACTTGTTTAGTTTTTAATTGTTTTTGTATAATTTTTAGGAAATTAATTTAAATGATTTGTGTGTTAGATCAATACTAATAAATATCAATCTATTATTTCTCTAAAAGATATATTTTTTTTTTCAAGATTATTAACTTGAAATCATTTAATTATAAAAAAAATTTGTTACATTACAAGTTTCGATGTTAATTTTTTTAATATATTTGATATCTGTTTTTTTTTATTTATTTTCATTGTTTTTTTTTTATTTCTAAAATTGTTCGGTTCTCCTAAATCTTTAGCTTTAAATTTTTTTTTCAATTTTTCTCTATCAATTTTATTCGTAGCTTGTAATTAATATACCATCAACAAAAATTATATATTATCTTATTATCAATGTTCAATGTTAATATAAACCAAAATTTTAAATCTCTATAATCCAATTTTCATTATAAATTACTAAATTAAATTAAACTTTCTGGATTTTGAATTTGTTATAAATACATATAATTATTTATTCATTTTTATTTTTCATTTTTATATTTTAATTCTTATTTTCACATATATTTCACTGTTTATTTCGTTGTTTAAAAATATAGTTAGTATATTTAATTTTCTATTCTTTTGTATTAATAGAAATATAATTTCTATTCTTTTGTATTATTTTATATTAATAAAAATTCTATTAAATAGATAACCTAGTTATTAAAATTTATATCAAAATTATCTGACTGTTAAAGTTTTCTAGTATTACTATGCATATTTTTTTTGGTTCCATTTTCTTAGTTTTAAATATCCAATTTGAATTTATTATCTATATTTTTTCCTTTTAGCAAATTTGTTCATATGTTGTTCATATATTCATTTTTCTGAAATTTCTAATACATATTGTTTTATATTTTTTCAATTATTACCTTATACTTGTCATTTCATCACATGGTTTGAGATTTTTTTCCATTATTAAACAGAATTATATACAATTTATAGTCATTTAAATGTTAGAATTTCTTGCCTGAAATTCATAATTGATAATCATTTTTATATTCATATTCTATCATAAACACTTCTTGAACTTTTTTTTCTAATTTTTTATTTTTGGATATGATTATTAAACTTTTGATCCACTTTTGGTTCATTTAATTTACTAATATATATTTATACAGGTATTCTATTATTAATTGTTATTGACAAACATCTATTCATTTAAAATTAATACAATATATAATTGTTTCATTTCATAAATATTTAGCAATTCTTTCATCATTGTTTCTATTTCAATGTGTTTTATTCATTTTTATAGAAATTCAATTTTATTAGAATGAATATGATTGTGTATATTTTATAATTATTCTTTTTTTTTGATAAAATTGTTTAATTGCTAAAAGTTCACATTGATCATTTAATTTATATTTAATTTTCTTTATTTTTATTTGTTTCTAAATATTTGTTTTTTTATATATTTAATTAGATTTTTTTATTTTTTGATTTTTATCTTAATAAATGTATATAGAAAAAGTATGAATAGTTATCAATAATAATAATTTAGAATAAAAAATTTAGAATAAAAAAAATTATATTTCTCCATTGATATATGTTACATTAATATGAATAAGTTTTTTAATTTTACTGTTTTATATTTTTATTTCTCGTTAAATGGTAATTTTATTTTTTATATATGATTTACAGATATTTTAATTTCTTCTTCTTTAAATGTACACATTTTAAATCTGATAAATTCTATATATAATATTTTGACTAATATTCATATGCTAATATTAATCCTTCTTATTATGTAGTCTGTTTTTTTCATTGCATTTCTACGTTTGATTTTTTTTTATTTTTAAATCTTGTTTATTGAATACTATTTTATATATATTTATATTTCTTTTTATATATATTTTCTAAATATGTTTTATAAATATTATACTATGGAATAATTTAAATTATAAAATAAATAAATATATAAAACAAATATTATATTTAATGTCTTTATATTTTCCTTTTTTCCATTGTAAATTATAAGTATGTTCTTTTTCTTTGCTTATAATATTATATGTTTGTTATTTTAATATTAATATTATTCTTTTATATTTTTCATTTATTTCATTAAATTCTGTATCAATATGCCCGAGTTCATTAATTTTATCTGATTTAAATTATTAAATTTTATTACGTTATTACATATTATTTATTTTTTTCTTCATTGCAACAAATGTATATTCCTATACAAATGTAGCTGCAAATGATTTCAATATTTTTGTTCATATTGTCCATTATTTTCTCAATAATTTGTATGTCATATTTTATAATCTTATTAAAAATTATTTTATATAGATGTATTTTTTTCTTCTTATTTAATTTAAATGTCTATTCTTAAATGTCTAATTTTATGAAATCTAATGATTTCATATTCATTGTTTTAATTATCGGTATCACATTTTCATTATATTATGACATATTTAGCAATAAGTAATATCTGTCCATTTTTATACTGATAGTTTATTTCATTTATGATTAAAAAGTATTTGTTACTTTAATTATTTATAATTAAAATAA